GTATCTGCAAGTGTGGGTGTTCTTGTGCATATGCCCTCTCTTCTTATCAGCTGGATGCTTCACTCTCCACTCTAGTCCTCTGTGGCTATGTCAGTGACTCTGGGCCCAAGAGTCCCCAGGTCTTGCCATAGTGCTGGCCAACCAGGTCTTCACCATGGGTTCATAGGAGTCTATTGAACGTTGTAGGGCTTAGCTCACCGCTTCATTGCTGTTTTTCCCTCAAGGTAGTAAATCTTTACAGGAGCAGAAAGCCTCATCTTTCCACTGGTAGTTTTGAACTGCTGACTGTGAGATCAGCAGCCTGACTCGTAACCATTACGCTACCAGAGCTCCTTACCATGTTTAAAGCATACTAGTTAAAGACTTCCAGGTCAACATGGTAGACTGACCCCACTTTTTCTTCAGTCTGCAGCTCATTAATTGGTAGGACAGTAAAGACATTTCTGAAAAGTATATACTCACAAAAATAAAGAGGATGGGAGTGGATCCTTCAGAAGATGGAAGATTTCAGCACATTTCAGAGAAATGGAAGGTAGAAAAAAGACCTTTGGTGATGCAGTGGGTTAAGCACTGGGCTTCTAGCAACAAGGTTGATGGTTCTAACCCACAAGCCACCCCTTGGGAGAGTGAGAAGTCTGTTTGCCCCTGTAAAGATTTGCAGTCTTGGAACCCCTACGGAGCAGTTCTGCTCTGTCCCATAGGGTCTCTATGAGGGGGGATGGACTTGGAGACAGTGGGTTTAGTTTGGTTTGGGTTGGAAAGTGGAGGAAGGAGTGGTGTGTGATGGGGTCTGCTTCATCTGGACACCAGTAGGGGGTGCTAAGAAGGGTCTACTCAGCCCTGTGGAGTCCGGAGACAGTAGAGACTCAGAATTGCCCATTTTGGAGAAGAACATAGACCTGAAACATTGAAGAGGTGGCAGGATTAAGTGGCCTCCCTCCAGAACACCAGGCATTGAAACTCCTTGTTAAAAGAAAGGATAGGACTGACATGAAGAGAGAGGCCCTCTTAACTGTCCACTCACTTGGCAGATACGTTTATTCTGCAGTACACACGGGTCTGGTGGCTTCTTTTGGGTGAATGTCTGCAGTGCTAAGTGGATGGTTCCTGAGTCCCAGATCTTTGCCTGTGACTTGACCTTGACCTTGCTGTCTTGTGGGGTTGTCAAGGTTCCCATCTGAGGCGTTGCCTTCCTGCTGAAGCTGCTCCAGGACCTTCTCCCAGAACTCCCAGTTCCAGGTAGTACAGCACCAACTCATCACCCCTCCCAGGTGGACAATCAACAGGGCTATGCCTTCACCCAACACAGGGGTCCTGGCGATGATGTTAGGCAATGTGGGAAATCAGAAGGTGGGCCTGTTCAGGTGTGTAGACAGTCCTTTGATTACAGTGATGAAAGTGGCAACAGCTAATGGAAAGGTTACATGGGCCCCTGGGGGGGGGGCGGTAATGAGCTTCTGTCTATGGGGGAGGGATAACTGGGAAACAGGGTGACAATGGACATACGACTCCCCAAATTGGCTCCATGCCTGAGCTGTGCGTGTAGAAATGGTTGAGTTGGCGTATGGTCTTCTGTGTATTGTCTCAACAACAATAAAAATAAATACATCGTTTTAAAAACAGAGACAGAGAAAGCCCTGTGGAGCACAGAGTCGCCATGAACTAGAATCAACTCAACAGCAAACAAAGAAACCAGACAAGGTCCCTGAGCATTTAGAAGCCACAGTCAAAATAAGAGTGACACAGAATTGACGGAAGGGTTTGGGGGAGCATGCCAGTCCCAGGTCTCCGACGAGCTAACATTTTCTGTTTGGGGCCCGTTGCCTAGTGACATTCCACAACAGATACGTCACCCCTGCTGGGTCCAGGATTATCCAGAAGCCCTACGAGACCAAAGCCTTCAGCTATTTTAATATATGGGTCAGTGGAAAACAGTTAGAAATCTGGAGGTTGGTGAACATTTTGTTGGCTGGGCCCTCGTTTGAACAGACACATTTATAATTTAGTTGATGCTCTAATAAAATTACACTGGAGAGGAGGTTAGAATATCCTCTTCCCTTTTTTTGGGGATGGATGAGAGCAAACAAAACCAACTGCTGTCAAACTGATTCCGATTCATAGTCACCTTGTATAGGACCTCAGAGACTGAAAATCTTTATAGGAGCAGACAGCTTCATCTTTCTGCTGCTGGTGGATTTGAACTGGAGACCTTGTGGATAGTAACCCAGTGTTTATCCTGAAGCGCCACCAGGGCTCTTTGAAGTTTGATACTGTCACTGCCATTGAGTCAGTTCCGACCCATAGCCACGCTGTATGGAGTTTCCGAGGCTGTATGTCTTTGCTGGGACAGATAATCTCACCATTCCCTCTTGCAGTGGCAGGTGGGTTTGAACCTCTGACCTTGCAGTGACTCTATGGGATAAGTCCAGTACTTATCCCACAGAGTCACTGGAACTCTTTGGGGAAGAGAAGCAGAGACTTCAAACCATAGAGGGACCTGAGGTCCATCTGGTCTACCTCTGGACCATGTTGAGGAGGAGTCGGAGTCCCAGGGGACTGGGGCACTGCAGAAATAAGACATGAGTGGGGGGCTGAGATGATATCAGGGTGATGGCTGGAGGACTGTGCCCCCATGTATGTTGTTTCACAGAAGTTTGCATCTATAGGGACATACAGATCTCACACGAAATCAGAGGTTTCAAGCACCTCTGAAGTGGGTCTGAAGGGTCCCCGAATGTGGTCCCTGTGGTGAGCATCCCTCTGTGGTGGTCAGTCCCCCACTCTGCAGCTTTGGGGGTGTAGTCACCGTCCACTTCTAGGGGACCTGGGGACGGTACGTCTATGGCTCCTCCATTCTGGGAGGCGCCCGGGATCCCGTGTACTGTGCACATGGCCACCCGCCCACCTGCCATTGGGAAAGTTATGACCTTGGTGAGGAAACTCTCCACAGGCCTGTGTGCCGAGTCCCCTGCAGATCATACAGAGAAGAGGGGACACATGTGGGGAAGCTTCTAGAATCCACCCTGAGGTCTTTTAAGTTATTTGTTGTTGTTAGGTGCCATTGAGTCGGGGCTGAACTCATAGTGACCTTGTGCACAACAGAACGAAACTGCCCGGTCCTGGGCCAACCTGAAAATCGTTACTACGTTTGAGTCCATTGCTGCTGCTACTGTGCCAATGCCCAATGCCAATGCCCAAATGGCTCCAGTAGAGGTGGCCAGAGGCTGGGTCCCAGAGCTTCCCCTGGCGAGCTCCTAGAGGGTGGTGAGGGTGCAATGAGCCACAAGGGTGTCACCCACAAGGGTGGCAAGGAATATCATCCAGTGTGACCGGAGTGGGCCACTGCAGTCAGGCCCGGCACAGCTATGGGAACTTCCCTCTCCCCATCACGTTGTAGTACTCAGCACCCACCCCATTGTGCCGGTGCCGGGCTCCTTTTTCCATCGGGCAAACTCCTACTTATCCCTTAAGACCCAGTTCAGGTACTCTCTCTCCCAGGAAGAGTCTTATGGCGCTCCATCTCCAAAGGCCCCAGAAATAAACCCTCAGGGGCAGGTGTGGGTGAAGTGGACTCTGGGGGCTAGGGTGACTTTGACACGGGGCTAGATTTGCTGTCATTGCTGGGCACATCGGCTGTCTGTATCTTTATGAAAGCCTTGTTCAGATCCTCAGGCTCTCCCAGACATGAACAAGATGCCCTCAGCTTCCGGACAAGACACTCTAGATGAACATGCATGAAGAGTTGGAGACTGCTGGATTTGACTATATTGCCCATGCACAATAGGAAACAGTAATGAATGAATGTGCGATTCACCTGGGAGACTTGGGAGGAGACCACTGTCTACCTGGGATGTTACCATAATAACTGTAATAGCCAGACCATAATGGACACCCTGCAGGCGCCACCTGTGGCCACATGGCACTGCCCCCAGCACTTCACCTGTGTTAACTCATGGGCCCTCAGCACACCTTGCAGGTAATGGTTACTACTGTCCCTGTTTATAGCGGACTGAGGGCTGCAGAGATAAAGTCACTGGCTCCATGTGACTCGCACTACATCATGACTCACACTTGTTGTAGATGGGATTCCCTGGACTAGGCTGTCATGCCCGTGATGATGGGTAGAGGGCGCTCCAGGAGACTCATGGAGGAGACGACCAGGAAGAAATGGAGTAAGGGGCAGGTACAGGTGAATGCAGCTGGGACCAAGTCCTGGGACTGGGGGGGGAGGGGGCAGGGTGAGGGTGGGAGGGAAGACAGGGAGGCGGGGTGCTATGCCTGGTGACCAGGACTGTTCACAACGCCAAAGGTCGATAGCTGTGAATAGTTGCACTCAGCGGTAAAAGCATGACAGGTCTCCAACTCTCTGGGTTCTGTGCTGCCTCTGCGGGGGCCTCAGTGTGCCAGGCCCTTGGGCCCTGGAGGGCCTGGGCTCACCTGGGCCAGCCCATTCTCAGGAGCCCGCACCACCAGCTGGTGGCCCAGTCCCTGCTCCGCTCTCCTGGCTGGTTCAGTTGTCCCTAGCCGGTGTCTCCCCACCACGCTTTCTCTTTGCCGCCAGGCCTGGTACACATGTATCTGATACGCTGGGCACCTGTGTGCAGGTGCGTAACCTGGAGACCCTCAGGAGTCAGTGTAAACTCCCTCCCTCCCCCGTCAGACCCTCTGAGGGCCAGAGAAGACTGGACAGATGAGGCGGCTCTTACGGTTTTTAAGGCAGCAAGGAAGAGAGGGCTTTGCAGGCAATGAAGATGATTGTTCTAGTGCTGGAGAAATTCAAGGCTCTTTGCTTTTACAATTGCTAGAATGTTCTGCCACCTTCCAAACTCCTGCACTTACGCCTCTGGACCCATGCCCATGACAACTAGAAAGATGGGAGCCTTTCTTATTTGACCACAGAGGCGCATCCCCTGAAATCCACTTCTGAAATTCACATCTTCTCCTTTGCTCTGATGGTACCACGGCCCTCACTCTGCCGTTCATTTCTAGGGCTTGGTTAATGCTCAGAATCTACATGATTTGGTGTTATTTCATTCTTCCTCTCACCGTCCCCTCCCAACCTTCAAACTCCAAACCCCCTAACTCATTGTCCTCCAGTGCATTCCAGCTCAGTGTCCCTACAGCACAGAGGAGAGCTGCCCCATCCATCGGGTTTCGGAGCTGCGAATCTTTACAGACGGAAGCAGACTGCTACAGACGGCCATGTCATGTGTCTTTCTGTTAGAAGTCAAGTGCGTCAGTAGGGTTCATTTTGTGCCCAGCCTTAGATTCTACTTTCTGTCTCTGTTTTATTGTTGTTAAGTGCCTTCAAGTTGGTTCCAAGTCATCGCGACCCTGTATAGGGTTTCCGAGGAGCAACTGGTGAGCTTGAACTTCTAACCTCACAGTTCAAACGGCTTTACAGTCTGGTACATTAACCCACAACGCCACACCAGGACTCCTCTATATATTTGACTATTTCAGACATTTCACATAAACGAATTCATATGAAATGTGGCATCTGGCCATGACTGGCATGTTCCTCCTCTTGGTGTAATGTTCTCAAGATCTATCTCTCTGTACCATGTGTGACTGCCGCCTTCCTTTTTATTGCCAAACAGTATTCTCTTGTGCAGATAGACCACGTTTGTTTATCCATTCAGCCATCAGCGTGTTCTGCTATTAGAAATAATGCCACCACAAATACACATTCATGTGTGGACATGATTTCACTTCTTTCATGTCGGAGTGGGGTTGCTAAGTCACCTGGTAACTGTGTTTAATGCTGCCAGACTGTCTTCAAAGTGGCTGTAACATTTTACATTCTCAGAAGTAGGGCAGAAAGCTTCACATTTCTCCACACACTTGCCAACTCTTGTTATTATGTATCTGTCTTTTTATTATAGCCATCCTAGTGGGTGGGCAGTAACATCTCACTGTAGGTTTGACTGGCATTTTAATGAGGTCTAATGGACTTCTGGTGTGGTATTGCTGGTTAATGCGGTAAAGTGCAATGTCGGTTTGGGCCGTTAAGGCCAGCAGTTCTAACTCACCAGCTGCTCCTGGGAAACCCTGTACAGGGTCGTTATGAGTCGGATCCCAACTAGATTGCACTTGGCAACACCAACAATAATACCAGTGAGTCCTGGGGTGGCACTGTGGGTTAATGCACCAGACTGCAAAGCTGTTTGAACTGCAAGGTCGATGGTTCAAGTTCACCAACTGCTCCTCAGAACCCTATACAGACTCGCAATGGGTCAGAACAGACTTGATGGCACTTCACAACAACAACAAACTATACTGGACTCCTGGTGTGATACTGTAAGATCAGCACTGGACTGTGAACCACAAGATTGGCAGTTCAAACCCACCAGCTACCCCTTGGAAGCCCTATATAGGGTTGCTATGAGTCAGAACCTACTCAATGGCCTTTTACAAAAGCAAAAACAAAAAGACAGCTATACTGTAGGTTAAGCATTGAATGCTAACCACAAGCTCAGCAATTCAAAGCCCCCAACCACTCTGAAACCCCATTCAGGGTCTCTACAGTCCTTACCGACTAGATTGAAAGACAGTTATTTAAAGGAAAAAACCCTTATTTTTCTTTCAATTTAACTGCAGTGTGTGTTATTTTCTTGAATGGTTACTAACTTGTTGCTGTCATTACTAGGTGTCATTGAGTTGGTTCCAGCTAACAGTGCCCTACATCCAACAGACCCCAACATTGTGGTCCTACGCCAGCCTCACAATTGTTACGCTTCAGCCCATTACTGCTGCCACTGTGCCACTCCATCTCAGTGGGGGAGGGGCTTCCTCTTTTTCACTGACCCTCCACTTTATGAAGCATGGTGTCCTTCTTCAGGGACTAGTTCCGCTGGATAGCTTGTCCAAAGAATGAGAGACAAAGTCTTACCGTCCTCACTTCTAAGAAGCATACTGGCTGGACATTTTTCAAGGCAGATTTGTCTATTCTTCTGGCAAACCGTGGTATATTCAATATTTCATGTCAATACCATAATTCAAATTCTTCTCCATTCTTCTGAATTTGTTTGTCCAGCTTTCATATGCATATGTTGTTGTTGTTGCTGTTGTTAGGTGTCATTGAGTCGGTACTGACCCATAGCGACCTTATGCACAGCAGAATGAAACACTGCCCGATCCTGGGCCAACCTCACTACTGTTGCCATGCTTGAGTCCATCAATGCTTGGCCAATCCATCTTGTTGGGGGTCTTCCTCTTTTTCTCGGAGCCTCCACCTTACCAAACATGATATCCTTCTCTAGCGACTGGTCTCTCCTGACAATATGTCCGAAGTATGAGAGACAAAGTTTGGCCATCCTGGCCTCCAAGGAGCACTCTGGCTGCACTTCTTCCAACACAGATCTGTTGGTTCTTTTGGCAGTCCATGACACTTTCAATATTCTCCTCCAACACCATCACTCAAAAGCATCAATTCTTCTACGGTCTTCTTTATTGACTGTCCAGCTTTTGCATGCATACGAGGTTATTGAAAATACCATAGCTTGGGTCAGGCGTACCTTAGTCTTCAAGCTGACATCTTTGCTCTTCAACACTCTACAAAGGTCTTGTGCATTAGATTTGCCTAGTGCAATATGTAGTCTAATTTCTTGACTGCTGCTTCCATGAGTGTTGATAGTTAATCCAAGAAGAATGGAGTTCTTGACAACTTCAACCTTTTCTCCATTGATAAGAATGTTGTTTACTGGTCCAGTGGTGAGGATTTTTGTTTTATTTACATTGAGATGCAATCCATAGTGAAGGCTGTGCTCTTTGATCTTCATCAGTAAATGTTTTAAGTCCTCTTCAAGACAACTGAAAATACCATGGCTTGGGTCAGGCTCAGTCTTCAAAGTGACATCTTTGCTCGTGGACACTTTAAAGAGATCTTTTGTAGCAGATTTGTTTGTTAGGTCCTAATGACTTGATTAAGTTTTTGGACCCAACAACTTAAACACAACTGCCAGACATCTCCTTTGGAGTAGGGACATTGTGACACAGTATTGAGACATGAAAGACTGAGGAAATTTAGAAATATCTCATTTGTAGTTTTACAATTTTAAACCAGAGAAACCAGATTTTGATATTCTTAAGCCCAAAGGGTAAGCTCAGTGCTGACACCAGCATCCAGGGCTACAAGGTTAGGAGTTGTGGAGAGAGGGACGAGACAAGGGTATGCAGCGATGAATTCCAAAATGGCACCAGGGGCCAAGCTTGCTCTGGTTGGTGTCTCTTTCCCAGGATGTGAGTGGGTTAAGGGCACTGATAGCCTCAGAGTCCTATAGGACTGTTCCATAGACTTTTTTGTTCCCAACCCTATATTTATCCTGCCTTTAATTTTTGCTCATCAATCGTGAGTTACATAGTCATGATCTTAGAGACTTGTGACCCCAAACACCTTTCTTAAAAGCTATAACAAAACTTCAAATATTGGATGTGAGCCACGGGCTGGGAAGCTAACAAGGAGGGGCAAAGGAAGCCGGCATCTTTCTCCACAAGGTTAAAGGGACCTGACCATTTAGATGCATGGATGACATGAGAAAAAACCCAGGGTTGTGTGGATTTGTTAAGTGAAGGAAAACACTCATGATAGTATGTCTTCTAACAAAGATCAGAAAAATGAAAAGCTGCCTCCATGCTGAGGCTGTGGACTGGCGGAATAGAAACACTCAGTTTTCCTTTCAGGAAGTTTGTGGTAAGGGTAAAAGAGTGGAACAACCCACAGAGAGAACCGCAGAAAAATGAGAAGGTCACCAAGAGGAACTCTGGACTTGCTGGGGGTGGGAGTGGGAGGCTGGCTCTGGCTCTGGCTCTACAGCTAGTTCTCCTTGTTACCCAAAGAAGCACCATCATCTAGTCTTGTCTCAGTTTCCTCATCGGTCAAATAAAGAGTTTGTAATAGACAACCATTCAGGAGGCTTCCTGTTCTCTGATTCTCAGATTCTCTGGTGGTGGTGGTGGTAAAATGCCGTGGAGTAGATCCAACTCATAGAGACCCCGCACAGGGTTTCCAAAGCTGCGAATCTTTATGGGAGCAGAAAACCTCATCTTTTTCCCATGGAACAGCTGGTAGTTTTGAACTGTTGACCTTGAGGTTAGCAGCCCAACTAGTAACCACTATGCTACCAGAGTTCAATTTGACATTAGACTGGGTTTTTTCTTTTGCACATGTGGTTGCAGCAGACTTATGAGAAATGAGAGGTTTGAGGGTCTTCAGACATGTGTTAGACTGTAGAACAAGCCAAGAATTAACATTTGTCTTCTTGGCCAACTGAGAACATCTCATTACTCTTTGAGAGGCGTCTTTGGTTGCTGATGTGTATGCGTGCCTGCTGGTAATTAAAGAAGTTTGATTTGCTGCCAGCACAGCAGATAGCATGATAATTTAAGAAGAGGACAGAAAGGGAAGGAGTGTGGAACAAGAGTTATGAGTGGAACAAGAGCATACTCTGAGAAACTGGGGTTGTGGACCTTCTGCCTGACGCCCCCTGACTCCAAAGCACCTTCAGGAGCCGAGTTCTGGACCCAGATGACGTCTCTTCTTCATTTCCCCCTACTCCACCAGGAAGAAGTACAGAGATTGATGGTCTGAGTTCAAATTTCATCTTGGTCACCTATTGAAAGTATGTGGTGGGACACGGTTCTTAACTACTGGGAGCCTCAACTTCCTCACTATATATGGCATGAGTGGCAGTCATACTGATGGGTAGTTGGCTGTGACGGCTACATGAGATAAACCATGTGATGACATTGGACATGAGTCTACATGAGTCATTGTGACTTGATGGGAGGGTAGGGATCCAGAGTGTGCTCAGACCCCAACACTGACAGGGAGCAGGGAGAGTGATGATGATTTAGGGAG